ACCAAGCCTGTGCATATACTATGCACTTGGTATCTGCAGACATGGGAAATCTGGAAAAACAGACGGGACGTGAAAACTATGACCAACCCTAGAAAAATGCCGTGCCCATATGACAACAGGAAAATGAAAACTCCCTTCCTGTAAGCTTTTTCCACTGAAATGTGTACCTCTTCAGTACAGGAAAGACTGTGCTATAACTTAAATTGCCAGGCACACCATCTAAAGGGGACAAAAAGATACAAAACATCCAGGCCATGGGAAAACCTGGGTAGCCACAGGCACTCAAGAGGGAGAGGTTTTAAGTGCCAGGAAGGAAAAAAAACTGGCAGGAAATGGCGAAATCGTACCACCAAATCAGTCATTCCTGGTGTGGAACCACAGCCCGATGGCCTCCACTCCAAACCAACAGATACAGATACTAATGCCGGAAAAAAAATTTCCCCCCCCCCCAGTACCAACAATACCACCAGTCCGATGACATTTTCTTTGCAAATATACAGGGTCTAAAGCCAGCAACAAACAACAAAATACCTTTCATCCGTGGACTGCTTGCAGAGGAAAAGGGAAATGTTCACGGCTTTCACTGAGACCCACTAAAGGATCACTTGGACAACGAAATATGGACCCCAGGTTTACAACCTAACAGATGTGACAGACGTTGAACAGGCAAAAAGGGGGGGGGGGCGTTGGCCTGTACATTGCAGTCACTTGTTTCCCACAGAACTGTTTAATGCCTCAAATGATGTAGTGGAAGTTTTAGCAGTAAAGATCGAGAACCAAAACCTAGTCATTGTGGTAGTCTACAAGCCTCCGGATGCAACATCCCAGCAATTTTTCAGGAACAGCTGTTAAAAATTGACCATTGTCGGGAAAATCTTCCAGCTCCTGCACCCAACATCTTGTCCTGGGGGATTTCAACTTAAGGCACCTCAATGGAGGAATATAGCAAAAAATTTATTGTTGCAGTAATAACACCAGGAGGCAGCTCTGATGAAAACTCACACTCACACGAGTTTTTAAAAATTCCTCTGCACAAAATTCAATTTAAACCAGCAAATAATAGAGCCTACTAGACTGGAGAATACACTAGACCTCATCTTCACTAACAATGATGATCTGATAAGAAATGTCACCATATAAAAAAACAATATACTCAGATCACAACATAATTGTGGTTCAGACATGTATGCGTGGAGCCCCAGACAGACATAATGAGATTAGTCACGAGGGTGCATTCACCAAATTCAACTTAAATAACAAAAACATAAAGAGGGACCAAGTTAAACCAAGTCCAAACCCGATATAAGCTGGGAAGATATACTAAGCAACACAGACCCCAACTTATGCCTAGAACAGATTAATTTGGGGGCACTCGATGTATGCACAAGGCTTATTCCTCTAAGAAAAAGGAGGAGTAGATGTAAAATAGAAAGAGACAGGCGCTCCCTTTACAGGCGACGGAAAAGAATAACAGAGCGGCTAAAAGAGGTCAATATATCTGAAATGCGTAGGGAGACACTGGTCAGAGAAATAGCAAGCATCGAACTTAAGCTTAAGGAATCTTATAGGAATCAGGAATCGCGGGAAGAACTAAAAGCCATAAATGAAATCGAAAGAAACCCAAAGTATTTCTTCTCCTATGCCAAATCAAAGTCGAGAACAACGTCCAGTATTGGGCCCCTACTTAAACAAGATGGTGACAGCAAGGAAATGAGTAAGCTACTCAGTCCCAATATGACTCAGCTTTTAGCAAGCCCCTAACCAGACTGAGAGTCGAAGATCAAAATGATTTTTTATGGGAAAGCCACAGAATTTGGTTAACACAAGCCTATTCGATGTTATCCTGACGCCAAATGACTTCGAACAGGCGATAAATGACATGCCCATGCACTCTGCCCCAGGGCCAGACTCATGGAACTCCGTGTTCATCAAGAACTGCAAGAAGCCCCTATCACGAGCCTTTACCATCCTATGGAGAGGGAGCATGGACATGGGGGTCGTCCCACAGTTACTAAAAACAACAGACATAGCCCCACTCCACAAAGGGGGCAGTAAAGCAACAGCAAAGAAATCCCGACCGATAGCACTAACATCCCATTTCATAAAAATCTTTGAAAGGGTCCCAAGAAGCAAGATCCCACCCATCTAGAAACCCATCAGTTAACCAACCCAGGGCAACATGGGTTTAGAACAGGTTGCTCCTGTCTGTCTCAACTATTGGATCACTACGACAAGGTCCTAGATGCACTAGAAGACAAAAAAATGCAGATGTAATATATACAGACTTTGCAAAAGCCTTCGACAAGTGTGACCATGGCGTTAATAGCGCACAAAATGCGTGCTAAAGGAATAACAGGAAAGTCGGTCGATGGATCTATAATTTCCTCACTAACAGAACACAAAGAGTAGTAGTCAACAGAGTAAAGTCCGAGGCAGCTACGGTGAAAAGCTCTGTTTCACAAGGCACAGTACTCGCTCCCATCTTGTTCCTCATCCTCATATCTGACATAGGGCAAGGTGTCAGCCCCAGCACCGTGTCTTCCTTTGCAGATGACACCCGAATCTGCATGACAGTGTCTTCCATTGCAGACACTGCAAGGCTCCAGATGGAAAATCAAGCAAATCTTTCAGTGGGCTGTAGAAAAAAATATGAAGTTCAACGATGAGAAATTTCAATTTATCAGATATGGTAAACACGAGGAAATTAAATCTTCATCAGGTACAAAACAAATTCTGGCCCACAAATAGAGCGAAAAAACCAACGTCAAAGACCTGGGAAATGATCATGTCGGAGGATCTCACCTTCAAGGACCATAAAATTGTATCAATCGCATCTGCTAGAAAAATGACAAGATTTGGGTAATTTAGAACCTTCAAAAAATAGGAGGCCAAGCCATGATGACACTCTTCAGGTCACTTGTTCTATCTAGCTGAAATATTGCTGCACACTAACAGCACCTTCAAGGCAGGTGAAATTGCTGACCTAGAAAATGTACAGAGAACCTTCATAGCGCGCATAACGGAGATAAAACACCTCAATTACTGGGAGCGCTTGAGTTCCTAAACCTGTATTCCCCGGAACGCAGGCGGGAGAGATACATGATTATATACACCTGGAAAATCCCCAGAGGGACTAGTACCGAACTTGCACACGAAAATCACTACGAAAACAAAAGACTTGGCAGACGATGCAACATCCCCCAAAGAAAAGCAGGGGGTGTCACTAGCACGTTAAGAGACCCCTACAATAAGTGGGCAGGGGCCCGAGACTGTTCAACTGCCTCCCAGCATACATAAGGGGGATTACCAACAGACCCCTGGCAGTCTTCAAGCTGGCACTGGACAAGCACCTAAAGTCGGTTCCTGACCAGCCGGGCTGTGGCTCGTACGTTGGTTTGCGTGCAGCCAGCAGTAACAGCCTGGTTGATCAGGCTCTGATCCACCAGGAGGCCTGGTCACAGACCGGGCCGCGGGGGCGTTGACCCCCGGAACTCTCTCCAGGTAAACTCCAGGTAATTAGGCTAAATTAAATTGCTCTTGTTATAATAAGGTTAGGTAAGTTTTCTAGGGTACTTTTGGTACAAAATTATTAATTTTTACATTAACACAGATGATAAAAATATATCTTTTAACATATACGATAAAATTTTAGAAAAGACTTAATTTTAAATGAGTTCTTGCTAATTGAACAATTTTACCTATTCGGCACGACATATAAATAAATAAAAAAAATATATATATATATATATATATTTATATATATATATAATATATATATATATATAATATAAAATATATATATATATAAAGAATCACACACAAAGTGGGAGTTGTCACAAACCCGCTCTTTGCTGAACACTGTGCTCTTGGGAGATTCTGAAGAGAAGTTGCGAGATTGGTGGGTGAATTTGGTAGGGTGTGCAAAGAAGAAAATTAAAGGTGAATACAGGAAAGAGTAAGGTTATGAGGATAACAAAAGATTAGGTGATGAAAGATTGAATATCAGATTGGAGGGAGAGAGTATGGAGGAGGTGAACGTAAATTTAGATATTTTGGGAGTGGACGTGTCCAGCGGGATGGTCTATGAAAGATGAGGTGAATCATAGAATTGATGAGGGAAAAAAAGGTGGTGGTGCACTTGGAGTCTGTGGAGACAAAGAACTTTGTCCTTGGAGGCAAAGAGGGGAATGTATGAAGAGTATAGTTTTACCAACGTCTTATATGGGTGTGAAGCGTGGGTGATGAATGTTGCAGCGAGGAGAAGGCTGGAGGCAGTGGAGATGTCATGTTGAGGGCAATGTGTGGTTTGAATATAATGCAGAGAATTGTAGTTTGGAAGTTAGGAGGAGGTGCGGGATTACCAAAACTGTTGTCCAGGGGGCTGAGGAAGGGTTGTTGGGGGTGGTTCGGACATGTAGAGAGAATGGAGCGAAACAGAATGACTTCAAGAGTGTATCATCTGTAGTGGAGGAAGGCGGGGTAGGGTCGGCCTAGGAAGGGTTTTGGGGAGGGGAGGGGTAAAGGAGGTTTTGTGTGCGAGGGGCTTGGACTTCCAGCAGGCATGCGTGAGCGTTTTTGATAGGAGTGAATGGAGACAAATGGTTTTTAATACTTGACGTGCTGTTGGAGTGTGAGCAAAGTAACATTATGAAGGGATTCGGGGAAAACCGGCAGGCCGGACTTGAGTTCTGGAGATGGGAAGTACAGTGCCTGCACTTGAAGGAGGGGTGTTAATGTTGCAGTTTAAAACTGTAGTGTAAAGCACCCTTCTGGCAAGACCAGTGTGGAGTAAATGAGGGTTTGAAAGTTTTTCTTTTTCGGGCCACCCTGCCTTGGGGAATCGGCCGGTGTGATAATAAAAAAAAAAATAATATATATTTTATATATATTTTATATATATATATATATTTATTTTTATATATAAAAATATATTTGCACACACACGCACACACATTAAGAGACCATCGAGATTAATGTAAACTTCACCGTGTATATCTAACCCCGTGTTGGCCTTGGTGAGCAGCTCGTGGTCAGTGATGATGGCTGTGTCGTGTTCGTGAGTGACCTCATAGTCGGTCCAGACCTGGAGGCCAGTGACTGGGCGTGCCTGCAACAGGTACACTCGCTCCTGCAAGCAAGCATAACACACAAAGGTTAAAACCAATGGATTATTATTAACACAATCAAAAAGAAGCACTTAGCCTACAATTGTCGTACAGCTAGAACCAATGGAATACTCCATATCTGTAGTCCGTATTTACAGTCATATATGAAATTAAACACCCGTGATTACGTATACTTAGTTTACCTTATACCCATCTTATGGGCGGTAGTTACCTCCTGTGAGAGGTAGTCACCCCATACCCATCCTATGGGCAGTATTCACTCCATACCCATTCTGTGGGAAGTGGTCATCCCGGAGGAAATATTTCAGCAATTTTTAAGACGTCTAGAATTTCACCTAGAACTAAACTCTGAAAAAAGAGTACTGAATGCTTGGTCTATTGGCAGTTTGAAGTTCTTTGTAAATAAAGAACCCCGTGGACTCGACCCAGGTGCTGTATATGGCGCCATGATTTTTATTTTTGTTTTCGAATTCTATGGGATTAGTGCTTATTTCAAACATGATTTGTAGGGTAGTCAGAGGTAATGAAAATTTTTGTTGTCTCCACTGCTCTAGTTCGTTGGATTATTCATGAAGGATTCATACTACTATCTTAAGATTTTTTTTTTCGTCAGTGTATGAATTTTGTGTAATTAATGGGTCTATTCCACAGGTGGTTTTGGACCTGAGTTTTACGCATGTAATTTTTTTTTAAATTTCTTGGACGTCATTTTGCACGCTTTGTGTTTCATCCGTCTGGAATGAATGTTAAAGTTTCTGTTATATATCGGTAATCTCTCGGTTTACATTGTCTTTACTTTCTTGGGACATATTTTTGTTTGTAAGCAGTTCAATTACCCCCTTTTTCTTCCTCTTATTTTATATTAGATCTTCTTGCAGTCTTTCTCAGTGGAACATATTTCATTCACTCATTGTTGTATGTTTATGTTTTCCAAGAACTGTATTAGTCTACAACACTCAGGACTGGTGCTCAGGGATGTCTGATAGTTCTTTAGTCCCAGTCAGTTCTGACTGTTGAAATTAAATTTACTGACCAACTCCTCATCGTTTACTTTTACTGAGGTTCAAGCCTAAATATATACTTGTTTTTACTTCTACCAGGTTGTGAGATGAGTATATTGTATTTTAAATTGTCATATCTGTGATTAGTTCATTGTTCGTGAAGATCAATTTTTTTTTATTTTTTAATTCTGTTTGGTTTTGTTATCTGCTGGTTCGAAGGAATTGTTTGGTAGAGCCTGATTACCTCTGTGGTATGTATCAGTTGAGGTAACCTGCGTCTAGTGACTATTGCTAGTACGACACTCTTGTTTCTCAGCTTCTGTTTTACACTTGGGAGGATGAAGTCTCCAAGGAGGCGGATATTTGATGTAGGATTTTCAAGATTTTCAAGGTACCTATCCATCTATTGTAAATGGTCTTCAAATTCCTCGGCCATTGCTGATGGTGATTTTATATTTGCAAGAATAATTACTAATGTCTTCAGCTACTAATTCTTTTATTGTATCATATGAAGAATTCGTCAGATGTGTGCAGCCAAGTGTGTCTTTTACAGAGAATAACTTTCCCCTCCCTTCCTCCAGTGACATGGCTATAATTCAGATTTGAAGGCAATACATCAGTTTTGTAGTTAACGTATCTGTAATGAATTAATAGGTTTTCGTTGAATTCGGTTTTCGACGACGTTTTTCATCAAAATATCGTCCCAGTTTTCGTTCATCACCTCCGTCCGCCGTACTGAACGTGTCCAGCTGCCCGGGCCCACACAAAGCATCCCACGCACGCATTCTGGATCAGTCTGGCTTTGTTTCTTGTCAAGTGAACATTACCCTGCACATTCATACGAAACATTTCTTAATAATCCATTGTTTTTTGTGCTTGGTTATTGAGTGCAACTGCTAAATAAGCCACCATGGGACCAAAGAAAGTTCTGAGTGCCGGCCCTTTGATTAAAGAAGGCGAGAAACACGATAGAATTCAGTGGTGGTAGAGGGTGGTAGTGATGGTGGTAGAGGGTGGTAGTAATGGTGGTAGAGGGTGGTAGTGGTTGTAATGGTGGTAGAGGGTGGTAGTGATGGTGGTAGAGGGTGGTAGTGGTTGTAATGGTGGTAGAGGGTGGTAGTGATGGTGGCAGAGTGGTAGTGATGGTGGTAGAGGGTGGTAGTGATGGTGGTAGAGATAACCTCTCCTCCCTTTCCTCTCCTTGCCGTCTTCCATATGCCAACAAGAGTCTTCAATAAAGGTAAAAGTGACTGAAATGTTCATTTATCAATTTCATTAGCACTTTATATTTATTTTACATTGTTTTCTGTATGTAAAACTATAGTTATTCTCTATAAAATGTATTTTTTTGTTAATATTTTAGGGTATCTGGAACGGATTAATTGGATTTACATTGCTTCTTATGGGAAATATTGCTTCAGTTTTCGTCGAATTCGGTTTTCGTCAAACTGGAGCAAATTAAAGACGAAAACCGAGGTTCCACTGTATATGGAAACATGATATTATGTGTGTGGATATCAAACATGATGTTTTAAAGCTTCAGAGAGGGTCAAGTGTGATGTGTATAGACTTACCTGTACCAACGCAAACTCAATGTCCCTATGAGTAGCGAAGGCTTGGTGCAGGTAGACCGCTAGACCTGCCAGACGCAGTGCTGTTGTCTCACTGAGGCACACCTTCCTACGCTCCTCCTCACTCACCTCTTCCTTCACAGGACCTCCCTCCTCTGCTGACACAGATGGTGGTTATAAATGATCTTCGTGTGGAAGTTGTGAAAGATACAGTTGTAGTTATGAATATATGGTCCAAATGGCCAGAAACAGTGTGTGAAAGAATGTTAAGTAACCGAGAGTATGGAGCCAGGGCTTGAACTCAGTTGCCACAGCTACGTGAGTACACAAAAATACAGATTAATTTTCAGGATGCCCCACCTGCACACACTTGGGTATGTCACACAGTAGTATTTATAACTATATTTGATGAGTTTATGAAGCTTTGTACAAGGTTTCTTGTGGGATCTCTCCACGTCTAGTTTTCCAGCAGCACCTCAGACTAGACCTCATTTAACATAGTCACCCCTAACTAAGTGTAGGTTTGACTTCTTCACTCAGACTTTAGGAAACAGTTCCCAGGTCATCCCCCACACTTGCCTTGCAATAATAATAATAATAATAATAATAATAATAATAATAATAATAATAATAATAATATCTTTATTTACTACAAGTACATGTACAAGGTATACAGTCCTAGCTGACATCAATGACATACTACTATATAGAAAGCCCCTTGTTATGCAAAGCATTTAGGGCAAATTAGGTCAGTTTTGTCCCAGGATGCGACCCACACCAATCCACTAACACCTAGGTACCCATTTTACTGATGGGTGAACACAGACAACCGGTGTAAAGAAACATGCCTAAAGTTTCTACCCTCTCTGGGAATCGAACCCTGACCCTCACCGTGTGAAGCGAGAGATTTAGCCAAAAGGCTAACTTTACGAAGTTTCTTTTGACCAGCTTCAAACATTCAACACTGGTGTAGCATACTTAGGAAAAAGATTATTATTATTGGAATATGTAAGTGCATATTTGCCAATTTTTTAAAACGAAACGCCATTTTATCCTGGAAAACATAAGTCTGTAGTGACCGACTTCCATCGTTAGTGGCTCAGGTATGTTGTGTTGTGACCGACTTCCATCGTTAGTGACTCAGGTATGCTGTGTTGTGACCGACTTCCATCGTTAGTGACTCAGGTATGTTGTGTTGTGACCGACTTCCATCGTTAGTGACTCAGGTATGTTGTGTTGTGACCGACTTCCATCGTTAGTGGCTCAGGTATGTTGTGTTGTGACTGACTTCCATCGTTAGTGGCTCAGGTATGTTGTGTTGTGACCGACTTCCATCGTTAGTGACTCAGGTATGCTGTGTTGTGACCGACTTCCATCGTTAGTGGCTCAGGTATGTTGTGTTGTGACTGACTTCCATCGTTAGTGGCTCAGGTATGTTGTGTTGTGACCGACTTCCATCGTTAGTGGCTCAGGTATGTTGTGTTGTGACCGACTTCCATCGTTAGTGACTCAGGTATGTTGTGTTGTGACTGACTTCCATCGTTAGTGGCTCAGGTATGTTGTGTTGTGACTGACTTCCATCGTTAGTGGCTCAGGTATGTTGTGTTGTGACTGACTTCCATCGTTAGTGACTCAGGTATGCTGTGTTGTGACCGACTTCCATCGTTAGTGGCTCAGGTATGTTGTGTTGTGACTGACTTCCATCGTTAGTGGCTCAGGTATGTTGTGTTGTGACCGACTTCCATCGTTAGTGGCTCAGGTATGTTGTGTTGTGACCGACTTCCATCGTTAGTGACTCAGGTATGTTGTGTTGTGACTGACTTCCATCGTTAGTGGCTCAGGTATGTTGTGTTGTGACTGACTTCCATCGTTAGTGGCTCAGGTATGTTGTGTTGTGACCGACTTCCATCGTTAGTGGCTCAGGTATGTTGTGTTGTGGCTGACTTCCATCGTTAGTGACTCAGGTATGTTGTGTTGTGACTGACTTCCATCGTTAGTGACTCAGGTATGTTGTGTTGTGACTGACTTCCATCGTTAGTGACTCAGGTATGTTGTGTTGTGACTGACTTCCATCGTTAGTGACTCAGGTATGTTGTGTTGTGACTGACTTCCATCGTTAGTGACTCAGGTATGTTGTGCTGTGACTGACTTCCATCGTTAGTGGCTCAGGTATGTTGTGTTGTGACTGACTTCCATCGTTAGTGGCTCAGGTATGTTGTGTTGTGACTGACTTCCATCGTTAGTGGCTCAGGTATGTTGTGTTGTGACCGACTTCCATCGTTAGTGGCTCAGGTATGTTGTGTTGTGACTGACTTCCATCGTTAGTGGCTCAGGTATGTTGTGTTGTGACTGACTTCCATCGTTAGTGGCTCAGGTATGTTGTGTTGTGACCGACTTCCATCGTTAGTGGCTCAGGTATGTTGTGTTGTGACCGACTTCCATCGTTAGTGACTCAGGTATGTTGTGTTGTGACTGACTTCCATCGTTAGTGGCTCAGGTATGTTGTGTTGTGACCGACTTCCATCGTTAGTGGCTCAGGTATGTTGTGTTGTGACCGACTTCCATCGTTAGTGATTCAGGTATGTTGTGTTGTGACTGACTTCCATCGTTAGTGGCTCAGGTATGTTGTGTTGTGACTGACTTCCATCGTTAGTGACTCAGGTATGTTGTGTTGTGACTGACTTCCATCGTTAGTGGCTCAGGTATGTTGTGTTGTGACCGACTTCCATCGTTAGTGGCTCAGGTATGTTGTGTTGTGACCGACTTCCATCGTTAGTGGCTCATGTATGTTGTGTTGTGACTGACTCCACTGTTAGTGGCTCGGGTATGTGTTGTGACCGACTTCCATCGTTAGTGACTCAGGTATGTTGTGTTGTGACCGACTTCCATCGTTAGTGGCTCAGGTATGTTGTGTTGTGACCGACTTCCATCGTTAGTGGCTCATGTATGTTGTGTTGTGACTGACTCCACTGTTAGTGGCTCGGGTATGTGTTGTGACCGACTTCCATCGTTAGTGGCTCATGTATGTTGTGTTGTGACTGACTTCCATCGTTAGTGGCTCATGTATGTTGTGTTGTGACCGACTTCCATCGTTAGTGGCTCATGTATGTTGTGTTGTGACTGACTTCCATCGTTAGTGGCTCAGGTATGTTGTGTTGTGACCGACTTCCATCGTTAGTGGCTCAGGTATGTTGTGTTGTGACCGACTTCCATCGTTAGTGGCTCATGTATGTTGTGTTGTGACTGACTCCACTGTTAGTGGCTCGGGTATGTGTTGTGACCGACTTCCATCGTTAGTGGATCAGGTATCTCGTGTTGTGGCCGACTTCCATCGTTAATGGCTCAGGTATGTTGTGTTGTGACCGACTTCCATCGTTAGTGGCTCACGTATGTGTTGTGACCGACTTCCATCGTTAGTGGCTCAGGTATCTTGTGTTGTGATCGACTTCCATCGTTAGTGACTCAGGTATCTTGTGTTGTGATCGACTTCCATCGTTAGTGACTCAGGTATCTTGTGTTGTGACCGACTTCCATCGTTAGTGACTCAGGTATGTTGTGTTGTGACCGACTTCCATCGTTAGTGACTCAGGTATGTTGTGTTGTGATCGACTTCCATCGTTAGTGGCTCAGGTATGTTGTGTTGTGATCGACTTCCATCGTTAGTGACTCAGGTATGTTGTGTTGTGACTGACTTCCATCGTTAGTGACTCAGGTATGTTGTGTTGTGACTGACTTCCATCGTTAGTGGCTCAGGTATCTTGTGTTGTGATCGATTTCCATCGTTAGTGACTCAAGTATGTTGTGTTGTGACTGACTTCCATCGTTAGTGACTCAGGTATGTTGTGTTGTGACCGACTTCCATCGTTAGTGGCTCAGGTATGTTGTGCTGTGATCGACTTCCTTTTGTTTCCCTTAGGGTAGACTGCGCTGGGCTAGTGAGATACGGGGATACCGTTCTCAGGTTGCAAGAAAGGTAAGGCCCCTATGTAATTAGACAGTTTTTATTAGTTTCTTTACCTCCCTACAGCACAAGGCAAATAACATCTGTGGGTGAGCTAATGCACATTTTGATCCCAGGAAGAGACTGGCAGCTCCAAGTCCTTGAATCAAGAGACCTCCACCATGAACAAGTCAGCCATCTTGAAGAGTGTCAGTGTTTTATATGTTGTAGATATACACTCACTCACCCTTTATGGTATACTTTATTTTCTTAGCACCGAGCTTGGTATGTACGAGGGAGAGTTGGTCGCGCCAGCTGCGTCGTACCACGATGGTGTCAGAGTCCACCACGGCTGACACCACACTCTGTAGGTGGTGACACATGTAAGGTACACACTCTGTATGTGGAGACACATGTAAGGTACACACTCTGTATGTGGAGACACATGTAAGGTACACACTCTGTAGGTGGAGACACATGTAAGGTACACACTCTGTAATTTGGAGACACTTGTAAGGTACACACTCTGTAGGTGGAGACACATGTAAGGTACACACTCTCTAATTTGGAGACACTTGTAAGGTACATACTCTGTAGGTGGAAACACTTGTAAGGTACACACTCTGTAGGTGGAAACACTTGTAAGGTACACACTCTGTAGGTGGAAACACTTGTAAGGTACACACTCTGTAGGTGGAAACACTTGTAAGGTACACACTCTGTAGGTGGAAACACTTGTAAGGTACACACTCTGTAGGTGGACACACTTGTAAGGTACACACTCTGTAGGTGGAGACACATGTAAGGTACACACTCTGTAGGTGGAAACACTTGTAAGGTACACACTCTGTAATGTGGAGACACTTGTAAGGTACACACTCTGTAGGTGGAGACACTTGTAAGGTACACACTCTGTAGGTGGAGACACTTGTAAGGTACACACTCTGTAATGTGGAGACACTTGTAAGGTACACACTCTGTAGGTGGAGACACTTGTAAGGTACACACTCTGTAGGTGGAGACACATGTAAGGTACACACTCTGTGGGTGGAGACACTTGTAAGGTACACACTCTGTAATGTGGAGACACTTGTAAGGTACACACTCTGTAGGTGGAGACACATGTACATGTAAGGTACACACTCTGTAGGTGGAGACACATGTAAGGTACACACTCTGTAGGTGGAGACACATGTAAGGTACACACTCTGTAGGTGGAGACACATGTAAGGTACACACTCTGTAGGTGGAGACACTTGTAAGGTACACATTCTGTAGGTGGAGACACATGTAAGGTACACATTCTGTAGGTGGAGACACATGTAAGGTACACATTCTGTAGGTGGAGACACATGTAAGGTACACATTCTGTAGATGGAGACACTTGTAAGGTACACATTCTGTAGATGGAGACACTTGTAAGGTACACATTCTGTAGGTGGAGACACTTGTAAGGTACACACTCTGTAGGTGGAGACACTTGTAAGGTACACACTCTGTAGATGGAGACACTTGTAAGGTACACATTCTGTAGGTGGAGACACTTGTAAGGTACACACTCTGTAGGTGGAGACACTTGTAAGGTACACATTCTGTAGGTGGAGACACTTGTAAGGTACACATTCTGTAGGTGGAGACACATGTAAGGTACACACTCTGCAGGTGGACACACTTGTGAGGTACACAGTCTGCAGGTGGACACACTTGTAAGGAATACACTTTGCAGGTGGACACACTTGTAAGGTACACACCGTAAGATGTTAGAATTACCAACAATATTTTAGGTAAAAGGACACATGAGCAACTAATGCGAAGTTTTATTGTGGCAACGTTTCGCTCTCCAGGAACTTTGTCAAGACTGCTTGACAAAGCTCATGGAGAGAGAAACATTGCCACAATAAAACGTAGCATTAGTTGCACTCGTGTCCTTTTACCCACCATGGTACACACAACTTACTGGTGTATCAGCAGGTGTGTGATGCTGCTCGTCCCAGTAACCTCACACATCTCATACAGACTGACATATAATTGACTGATGAAGGCACTTTAAACAGTGAATATCCCACGTAGTTATCTCTACCAGGTTCAGAAGTTCCTCGTTTTATGTTTGCCCGACAGATTTTTTTTATATCGTCTTTATCTTATATTTATATTTTTCCGTTGTGTTACGTTATAATTAGTATTTTTTATGTATAGAGGAAAACTTAATCTAATTTAACCATAAAATTTTCTGCAAATTTTAATTTACAAATCCACACAAATGTTGATGAGAGTTAAGTGGATTTGTTATGTGATGAAACTATAATATATAAAATAAATGTAATATATGACTATATTAACACAAGAGGAATTTAAAGCCATAAATGAAATTGAAAAGAACCCAAAATACTTTTAAGTCAAATCTAGAGTAAAAACCGCAGGCAGTATTGGACCCCTGCTGAGAGAAGATGAGACTTACACAGATGACAGCAAAGAAATGAGTGAGATACTGAAGTCCCAATATGACTCAGCTTTTAGTGAGCCGTTCATCAGATTAAGGGTCTACAGTCTCAATTATTTTTTTTTTATGTCTGAGACTCAAAATTCAAAAATTTCAGGTATAATTCTAACATCACAGATTTTTGAAAAAGTAATAAAAGACATGGCCATGCACTGTGCTGCCCCAGGCTCAGGCTCATGGAACTCCGTGTTCATCAAGAACTACAAGAAACCTCTTTCTCGTGTCTTAAATATTCTATGGAGAGGGATCATAGACACAGGGGTCGTCCTACACACACTAAAAACAACAGATATAGCCCCACTCCACAAAGGTGGCAGTAAAGCAATTGAAAAGAACTGCAGACTGATAGCACTAACGTCCCACATCATAAAAATCTTTGAAAAAGTTCTAAGAAGCAAGATCACCAACCACTTGGATACCCATAAGTTGCACAACCCAGGACAACATGGGTTTACAGCAGGTCGCTCCTGCCTCTCACAACTACTGGACCACTATGGCATAATGATAATAATAATGTCTTTATTTCTTTAAGTACATATACAAGGTATACAGTCCTAGCTGACATCAGTGACATACTACTATATAGAAAGCCGCTTGTTATGCTGACCATTTAGGGCCAGGTAGGTCAGTTTAGTCCCAGGATGCGACCCACACCAGTCCACTAACACCCAGGTACCCATTTTACTGATGGGGAACATAGACAACCGGTGTAAAGAAACACGCCCAAGGTTTTTACCCTCACTGGGAATCGAACCCAGACCCTCGCCGTGTGAAGCGAGAGCTTCAGCCACCAGGACACGGCGTATATGGTCTGAGATCCTCTGGAGACACACAAAATGAAGATGTGTTATACAAAAACTTTGCGAAAGTCTTCGACTAATGCGATGATGGTGTAACAGCATGGTGTAACAGCATGGTGTAACTGCATGGTGTAACAGCATGGTGTAACAGCATGGTGTAACAGCATGGTGTAACAGCATGGTGTAACTGCATGGTGTAACAGTGGGTAGATGGATCTACAGCTTTCTAATAAACAGAACGCATAGAGTAAAGTCAGAGGCGGCTACAGTGGAAGGCTCTGTTCCACAAGGCACAGTACTCGCTCCCATCCTATTCCTCATCCTCATATCGGACACAGACAGGGATGTGAGCTACAGCACCGTCTCTTCCTTTGCTGATGATACCCGAATTAGCATGACAGTGTCATCCACCTAAGACACTACAAATCTCCAAACGGACATTAACTAAATCTTTAAATGAGCCGCAGAAAACAATAGGAAACTCAATGAAGACAACTTGCAATTACTCCGCTATGAAAAACTAGAGGAAATTAAAACTGAATCGGAGTATAAAACAAATTTCCACCACACAATAGAGCGAAAAACTAATGTGAAGGGCCTAGGAGTGATAATGTCAGAGGATGTCACTTTCAAAGATCATAACCCCTCAAGGAAGGTTCCTTGATGTTGGTGAGGGGCTCTTGATTTAGGGAATTGGATCTGTGCTCCAGTTCCCCGAATTAAGCCTGAATGCCTTCCACATCCCCCCCCCCAGGCGCTGTATAATCCTCCGGGTTTAGCGCTTCCCCCTTGATTATAATAATAATAATAATCAAAGATCATAAAAATGTATCTACCACATCTGCTAGGAAAATGATAGGATGGATAATGAGAATTTCCAAAACTAGAGATGGCAAGCCCATGATAAAACCTTTCAAATCGCTTGTTCTCTATAGGCTGGAATATTGATGTACACTAACGGCTCCTTTCAAGGTAGGCAAAACTGCAGACCATGAGAATATAAAGAGAACTTTCACGGCACACATAAGTACGATAAAGCACCTAAATTATTAGAACGGTTGAAGTCCCTTGATTTGTACTCCCTGGAATGCAGGCGAGAAAGATACATTATAATATACACCTGGAAAATTCTAGAGGGACTAGTCCGAAATCTGCACAAGGAAATCAGTCCCTATGAAAGCAAAAGATTCTGCAGGCGATACAACATCCCCCAATGAAAAGCAGGGGCGCCATGAGTACGATAAGAGACAACACGATAAGTGTCAGGGGCCCAAGACTGTTCAACTGCCTCCCTGAATACAAAAGGTGGATTACCAATAGATCCCTGGTTGTGTTCAAGAAGGCGCAAATTAGTCATGATTACTTCAGACAGAGACTGACAGAAAACTGCTAAAATTTGTTGATGAAGGCAGTGAATTAACAATGTTAGTCAATATACAAGTTACAGTGGATGGATGTGAGGTTTTGCATAACATGAGTCAGTAGGATTATCAAAGATTGATGCCTCGGGTTGCCTTCAGAATGGATTTGGCAATATTTCTGTTAAAGGGTTTGGGTTTGAGGAAGACCTGCCTAGTACGGGCTGGTAGGCCTGTTGCAGTGTTCTTCCATTCTGTTGTTATAATCCCATGATGTTAGCGCTAATCCACAACTTAACCGTACACACTGAGGGGAAAAAATAAAAAATAGGCGAAGGCAAAGAAAAACAGATGGGATGAAAGGTGATAAAGAGAATGAAGAGAAGAAAAGCCGAAGAAAATAGAAGATGAGGAATAGAGTGACTAACCTCTCCCAAGCCGTAGTTAGCGGTGATAACGATGTAAGCCGGGTTGACAGTGACGGGATCAATAGTGAACATAACACCAGCAACCTCAGCTTCCACCATCTGTTGTACCACCACACCCATCCCAGCCTCCACACCCTGACCATGCTGCCTGCAACACACACACACACACACACACACACACACACACACACACACACACACACACACACACACACACACACACACATCACACACACACAACAAACAAACAACCACACATACACAACAAACACTAAGAAACATATACATACACACACAAAATTTTAAATGATATTAAATGGTATATCATGTGTATAGATTAAAAGTATTTGAAAATGCAGTATTAGAATGTGGGGCAAAGATTGTTTGAGGTTTAAGAGAGTGGTTCAGAGGAGAAGAGGAGTGTATATGGGGAATGAGAAGGTAAAGGTGGTGATAAAGAGAAAAAAGTTAGCTTAAGTGGAGAGGTTTTTACAAAGAGAAGTTTATGAAATAAGAGACAAATATTGGAGTAAAGAAAGTAAAGAAATGTGAGCGTGCAAAAGGAGAGAGATGATAAGTGGAGAGCATGTTAAAATTTAAGAAAAAGAAAAATTGAGTAACAATAAGAAAATCACAAGAAGATTGACGTAAACAGAGTAGGAGAGTTAGTAGATGGGGAGATGGAAGTATTGCGTAGATGGTGGGAATATTTTGAGGAACTTTTAAATGTCGACTAAGAAAGGGAGGCGGTAATTTCATGCACTGGCCAGGGAGGTATACCATCTCTTAGGAGTGAAGAAGAGCAGAATGTGAGTGTGGGGGAGGTGCGTGAGGCATTACGTAGAATGAAAGGGGGTAAAGCAGCTGGAACTGACAGGATCATGACAGAAATGTTGAAAGCAGGGGGGGATATAGTGTTAGAGTAGTTAGTATTTTTGTTTAATAAATGTATGAAAGAGGGGAAGGTACCTAGGGATTGGCAGAGAGCCTGTATAGTCCCTTTATATAAAGGGAAGGGGGCAAAAGAGATTGTAAAAATTATAGAGGAATTAGTTTACTGAGTATACCAGGAAAAGTGTACAGTAGGGTTATTATTGAAAGAAATAAAGGTAAGACAGAATGTAGGATTGCAAATGAGCAAGGAGGATTTAGAGTAGGTAGGGGATGTGTAGATCAAGTGTTTACATTGAAGCATATATGTGAACAGTATTTAGATAAAGGTAGGGAAGTTTTCATTGCATTTATGGATTTAGAAAAGGCATATGAGAGAGTGGATAGGGGAGCAATGTGGCAGATGTTGCAAGTATATAGAACAGGTGGTAAGTTACTAAATGCTGTAAAGAGTTTTTATGAGGATAGTGAGGCTCAGGTTAGGGTGTGTAGAAGAGAGGGAGAATACTTCCCGGTAAAAGTAGGTCTTAGACAGGGATGTGTAATGTCACCATGGTTGTTTAATATATTTATAGATGGGGTTGTAAAAGAAGTAAATGTTAGGGTGTTCGGGAGAGGGGTCGCATTAAATTATGGGGAATCAAATACAAAATTGGAATTGACACAGTTACTTTTTGCTGATGGATGATACTGTGCTTATGGGAGATTCTAAAGAAAAATTGCAAAGGTTAGTGGATGAGTTTGGGAATGTGTGTAAAAGTAGAAAGTTGAAAGTGAACATAGAAAAGAGTAAGGTGACGAGAGTATCAAATGATTTAGATAAAGAAAAACTGGATATCAAATTGGAAAGGAGGAGTATGGAAGAAGTGAATGTTTTTAGATATTTGGGAGCTGACATGTCAGCAGATGGATTTATGAAGGATGAGGTTAATCATAGAATTGATGAAGGAAAAAAGGTGAGTGGTGCATTGAGGTATATGTGGAGACAAAAAAAATTTATGGAGTCAAAGAAGGGAATATATGAAAGTATATTGGTACCAACACTCTTATATGGGTGTGAAGCTTGGGTTATAAATGCTGCAGCGAGGAGATGGTTAGAGGCAGTGGAGATGTCCTGTCTAAGGGCAATGTGTGGTGTAAATATTATGCAGAAAATTCGGAGTGTGGAAATTAGGAGGTGTGGAGTTAATAAAAGTATTAGTCAGAGGGCTGAAGAGGGGTTGTTGAGGTGATTTGGTCATTTAGAGAGAATCGATCAAAGCAGAATGACATGGAGAGCGTATAAATTCGTAGGGGAAGGAAGGCGGGGTAAGGGTCGTCCTCGAAAAGGAGGGAAGGGGTGAAGGAGGTTTTGTGGGCGAGGGGCTTGGACTGCCAGCAAGCGTGCGTGAGCGTGTTAGATAGGAGTGAATGGAGAAGAATGGTATTTGGGATCTGACGAGCTGTTGGAGTGTGAGCAGGGTAATATTTAGTGAAGGGATTCAGGGAAACCTGTTATTTTTATATAGCCGGACTTGAGTCTTGGAAATGGGAAGTACAATGCCTGAACTCTAAAGGAGGAGTTTGGGATATTGGCAGTTTAGAGGGATATATTGTGTATCTTTATATGTTTATACTTCTAAACTGTTGTATTCTGAGCATCTCTGCAAAAACAGTGATTATGTGTGAGTGAGGTGAAAATGTTGAATGATAATGAACGTATTTTCTTTTATATAATATATATATATATATATATATTATATATATATATATATATATATATATATATATATATATATATATATATATATATATATATATATAAAGCTCTGCCCCTTGGGACGTACCAATTAATGTGCTATCCAATGGAAAGATGAGCTGAAATTGACCCATCTATACAGTGGTCAGGCAGAGGTCAACAATGAGAGAAAACTCAAGCAAGGGGAACATAACTATTTAAATGTAAGTAACGGGACTACCGAGATATAATCATTAAGCTCAGGTTTCAGTTTCCTAACATTCAAACTATAAAATTTTTAAATCTAATTTATCCTATGCTCTATCTGTTCTTTTAAAATCAGGTCATTACGACAATGATTGCCTTCTTGAGTATTCACACTCATGGGTGTTGGCGGTGCTTAAAAACAAGAAACACTGAAACTGAGACTGACCTGCGGTACTCGACGCTGTGGAAAGTGAAGCTGGAAGCCCAGCACTGTGCGAGAGCTGCCAGCACCTGTGGGACGCCACTCACACCCAGCACTGTCTCGTTCTGACCAGCTGCTGACGTTTCCTGACCATCCTCTGCACACCCAGACGACCGTACAGCAACTCTGTCACAACAACATCAGACGTCAACATTCAAATTTAAATTTTTATATCCTTTTATACAGTACAAAAATAAGGTAGTTTATATGTAATAAAAATCAAAAGAGAGCCACTAGTGTGTAGTTCGGTTCTGGGAAGTTAATCTTGATACTTAAAAACTACTTAAGAATTAGACAGAGACAATTAAGTAGGATTTCTTATCCAGTTAACTAAAATTATATGTACAATAACAAATGTAGCTTTTATACAAAACTCATATAATCTTCCATTAACTTCAAAAGCCATGTACTTCTTGTTGGGCTCCATAACTGGAACTTTGTGATAGGCGCTTATCAAGTAGAATGTAGAACACACACTGTACCTTGGAAGATAATTAACGTTGTCGTTTATGCTTAGCAATGGATCAACATCCAGTTCTGTATATTAATAGTCTGAGAGTAGTAAATACAGTCTCTTATGTGTGTTAAGAAGATCCTTCACCACAACAACCTGAGCATACTATGGAGATGAGAATGTATCAACGATGTTTCTGACAGCAATTGAGATGTCTGTACCTAAACGAACAAATGCGCCATAGTTTGGTTGTGATGGGTATACATCGTGGAGCTAAGTGTGGACGCCTTGATGGTTCTTTAACCACGGCTAGTGAAAATGTACACTGAATCAGTACCAGGAAATGTGAATTCTGGTTTATTATATCTCCCACAGTTGAATGTCAAACTTTCGTCTTGAGCAAAGCTCACACCTCTCCAACACAATTATCCTCAAAGATTTGTTAAGTTATACCATGAATTAAAGAAAGATCCTGGACTTCACCTTACGAAAGTAAAGTAAATGCGAAAGTAATTATGGACAAGGTAGATTATAGTAGAAAATAACATTATTAGAATACAGAGGCACTGACTTGCCCCTTAATCCAATGATATTTTCATGGTGAGCAGAGATATCACTAAGTATCTTCCAGTAATCTTGTTAGGAATTATTTACATGTACATTATGAAATCAGTGATAGACTGAAAAGTCTTCAGTGATCGATGTGTCGTGTACCCCAGCATAAGTTCACACAAACTTTAAAGTCCCTTGAAAAACAACATTTTATACTCCATCTACTGTTACAATATAAATATTATTAGTTATTTTCTTTAGATCACTTACAGAAAGATTCTTTATAATGTCTGGTGCTCGGCAGAAAATGGCAAAAAAACTAAAATGGCAAAAAAAAAAACTAAAATTATGTCATATGTTAAATCGTTGGAAATTCTTATATCAAGTTCTATACTTTATACATACATCTGCTCATCCCACGTCACCTATACCAATATATTTTTCCTAACGAACAAATAAGTGCTTATCGCAGTGATAGTCATATTAAATCACTCTTATAAATGTCTAAAGCTAGAAATAAAATGTATACAAAAAATACATATCAGTGAAAATAATGCATCAGTAACTATGTATGACAACTTAAAATAACGAGAAGCCAAACACCATACATCTACTGACAATAATATTATTATTATATGTATTAAAAATAATTGAACATTTTGAATCTTCTTTGCAGTTCTTTACGTCAGATTCTATTTTATTTTATTTATAAATATTATGAGTACTTTTTACTCTCACAAGCACAGTGACTCACCTGCAGGAGTGCTGGTGTTGGTGACTCACCTGCAGGAGTGCTGGTGTTGGTGACTCACCTGCAGGAGTGCTGGTGTTGGTGACTCACCTGCAGGAGTGCTGGTGTTGGTGACTCACCTGCAGGAGTGCTGGTGTTGGTGACTCACCTGCAGGAGTGCTGGTGTTGTTGACTCACCTGCAGGAGTGCTGGTGTTGGTGACTCACCTGCAGGAGTGCTGGTGTTGTTGACTCACCTGCAGGAGTGCTGGTGTTGTTGACTCACCTGCAGGAGTGCTGATGTTGGTGACTCACCTGCAGGAGTGCTGGTGTTGTTGACTCACCTGCAGGAGTGCTGGTGTTGTTGACTCACCTGCAGGAGTGCTGGTGTTGTTGACTCACCTGCAGGAGTGCTGGTGTTGTTGACTCACCTGCAGGAGTGCTGGTTTTTGTTGACTCACCTGCAGGAGTGCTGGTGTTGGTGACTCACCTGCAGGAGTGCTGGTGTTGTTGACTCACCTGCAGGAGTGCTGGTGTTGTTGACTCACCTGCAGGAGTGCTGGTGTTGACTCACCTGCAGGAGTGCTGGTGTTGTTGACTCACCTGCAGGAGTGCTGGTGTTGTTGACTCACCTGCAGGAGTGCTGGTGTTGTTGACTCACCTGCAGGAGTGCTGATGTTGTGACTCACCTGCAGGAGTGTGGTGTTGTTGACTCACCTGCAGGAGTGCTGGTGTTGTTGACTCACCTGCAGGAGTGCTGGTGTTGTTGACTCACCTGCAGGAGTGCTGGTGTTGTTGACTCACCTGCAGGAGTGCTGGTGTTGGTGACTCACCTGCAGGAGTGCTGGTGTTGGTGACTCACCTGCAGGAGTGCTGGTGTTGGTGACTCACCTGCAGGAGTGCTGGTGTTGTTGACTCACCTGCAGGAGTGCTGGTGTTGGTGACTCACCTGCAGGAGTGCTGGTGTTGTTGACTCACCTGCAGGGGTGCTGGTGTTGGTGACTCACCTGCAGGAGTGCTGGTGTTGTTGACTCACCTGCAGGAGTGCTGGTGTTGTTGACTCACCTGCAGGAGTGCTGATGTTGTTGACTCACCTGCAGGAGTGCTGGTGTTGTTGACTCACCTGCAGGAGTGCTGGTGTTGTTGACTCACCTGCAGGAGTGCTGGTGTTGTTGACTCACCTGCAGGAGTGCTGGTGTTGTTGACTCACCTGCAGGAGTGCTGGTTTTTGTTGACTCACCTGCAGGAGTGCTGGTGTTGGTGACTCACCTGCAGGAGTGCTGGTGTTGTTGACTCACCTGCAGGAGTGCTGTGTTGTTGACTCACCTGCAGGAGTGCTGGTGTTGACATCACCTGCAGGAGTGCTGGTGTTGGGTTGACTCACCTGCAGGAGTGCTGGTGTTGTTGACTCACCTGCAGGAGTGCTGGTGTTGTTGACTCACCTGCAGGAGTGCTGATGTTGGTTGACTCACCTGCAGGAGTGCTGGTGTTGTTGACTCACCTGCAGGAAATGCTGGTGTTGTTGACTCACCTGCAGGAGTGCTGGTGTTGTTGACTCACCTGCAGGAGTGCTGGTGTTGTTGACTCACCTGCAGGAGTGCTGGTGTTGGTGACTCACCTGCAGGGGTGCTGGTGTTGTTGACTCACCTGCAGGATGCTGGTGTTGTTGATCACCTGCGGAGTGCTGATGTTGGTGACTCACCTGCAGGAGTGCTGGTGTTGTTGACTCACCTGCAGGAGTGCTGGTGTTGTTGACTCACCTGCAGGAGTGCTGTGTTGTTTGACTCACCTGCAGGAGTGCTGGTGTTGTTGACTCACCTGCAGGAGTGCTGGTGTTGTTGACTCACCTGCAGGAGTGCTGGTTTTTGGTTTACTCACCTGCAGGAGTGCTGGTGTTGTTGACTCACCTGCAGGAGTGCTGGTGTTGTTGACTCACCTGCAGGGGTGCTGGTGGTTGACTCACCTGCAGGAGTGCTGGTTTGTGACTCACCTGCAGGAGTGCTGGTGTTTTTTGACTCACCTGCAGGAGTGCTGGTGTTGTTGACTCACCTGCAGGAGTGCTGATGTTGGTGACTCACCTGCAGGGAGTGCTGGTGTTGTTGACTCACCTGCAAGGAGTGCTGGTGTTGTTGACTCACCTGCAGGAGTGCTGGTGTTGTTGACTCACCTGCAGGAGTGCTGGTGTTGTTGACTCACCTGCAGGAGTGCTGGTGTTGGTGACTCACCTGCAGGAGTGCTGGTGTTGGTGACTCACCTGCAGGAGTGCTGGTGTTGTTGACTCACCTGCAGGAGTGCTGGTGTTGTGTGACTCACCTGCAGGAGTGCTAGGTGTTGTTGACTCACCTGCAGGAGTGCTGATGTTGGTGACTCACCTGCAGGAGTGCTGGTGTTGTTGACTCACCTGCAGGAGTGCTGGTGTTGTTGACTCACCTGCAGGAGTGCTGGTGTTGTTGACTCACCTGCAGGAGTGCTGGTTTGTTGACTCACCTGCAGGAGTGCTGGTGTTGGTGACTCACCTGCAGGAGTGCTGGTGTTGTTGACTCACCTGCAGGAGTGCTGGTGTTGTTGACTCACCTGCAGGAGTGCTGGTGTTGTTGACTCACCTGCAGGAGTGCTGTGTTTTTGACTCACCTGCAGGAGTGCTGGTGTTGTTGACTCACCTGCAAGAGTGCTGGTGTTGTTGACTCACCTGCAGGAGTGCTGGTGTCGTTGACTCACCTGCAGGAGTGCTGGTGTTGGTGACTCACCTGCAGGAGTGCTGGTGTTGTTGACTCACCTGCAGGAGTGCTAGTGTTGTTGACTCACCTGCAGGAGTGCTGGTGTTGACTCACCTGCAGGAGTGCTGGTGTTGTTGACTCACCTGCAGGAGTGCTGGTGTTGTTGACTCACCTGCAGGAGTGCTGGTGTTGGTGACTCACCTGCAGGAGTGCTGGTGTTGTTGACTCACCTGCAGGAGTGCTGGTGTTGTTGACTCACCTGCAGGAGTGCTGGTGTTGTTGACTCACCTGCAGGAGTGCTGGTGTTGGTGACTCACCTGCAGGAGTGCTGGTGTTGTTGACTCACCTGCAGGAGTGCTAGTGTTGTTGACTCACCTGCAGGAGTGCTGGTGTTGACTCACCTGCAGGAGTGCTGGTGTTGTTGACTCACCTGCAGGAGTGCTGGTGTTGTTGACTCACCTGCAGGAGTGCTGGTGTTGTTGACTCACCTGCAGGAGTGCTGGTGTTTTTTGACTCACCTGCAGGAGTGCTGGTTTTTGTTGACTCACCTGCAGGAGTTTCTGGTGTTGTTGACTCACCTGCAGGAGTGCTGGTTTTGGTGACTCACCTGCAGGAGTGCTGGTGTTGTTGACTCACCTGCAGGGTGCTAGTGTTGTTGACTCACCTGCAGGAGTGCTGGTGTGTTGACTCACCTGCAGGAGTGCTGGTGTTGTTGACTCACCTGCAAGAGTGCTGGTGTTGTTGACTCACCTGCAGGAGTGCTGGTGTTGTTGACTCACCTGCAGGAGTGCTGGTGTTGTTGACTCACCTGCAGGAGTGCTGGTGTTGTTGACTCACCTGCAGGAGTGCTGGTGTTGGTGACTCACCTGCAGGAGTGCTGGTGTTGGTGACTCACCTGCAGGAGTGCTGGCTGTTGTTGACTCACCTGCAGGAGTGCTGGTGTTGTTGACTCACCTGCAGGAGTGCTGGTGTTGGTGACTCACCTGCAGGAGTGCTGGCGTTGTTGACTCACCTGCAGGAGTGCTGGTGTTGTTGACTCACCTGCAGGAGTGCTGGTGTTGACTCACCTGCAGGAGTGCTGGTGTTGTTGACTCACCTGCAGGAGTGCTGGTGTTGACTCACCTGCAGGAGTGCTGGTGTTGTTGACTCACCTGCAGGAGTGCTGATGTTGTTTTACTCACCTGCAGGAGTGCTGGTGTTGTTGACTCACCTGCAGGAGTGCTGGTGTTGTTGACTCACCTGCAGGAGTGCTGGTGTTGTTGACTCACCTGCAGGAGTGCTGGTGTTGGTGACTCACCTGCAGGGGGTGCTGGTGTTGTTGACTCACCTGCAGGAGTGCTGATGTTGTGACTCACCTGCAGGAGTGCTGGTGTTGTTGACTCACCTGCAGGAGTGCTGGTGTTGTTGACTCACCTGCAGGAGTGCTGATGTTGTTGACTCACCTGCAGGAGTGCTGGTGTTGACTCACCTGCAGGAGTGCTGGTGTTGTTGACTCACCTGCAGGAGTGCTGGTGTTGGTGACTCACCTGCAGGAGTGCTGATGTTGTTGACTCACCTGCAGGAGTGCTGGTGTTGGTGACTCACCTGCAGGAGTGCTGATGTTGTTGACTCACCTGCAGGAGTGCTGGTGTTGGTGACTCACCTGCAGGAGTGCTGGTGTTGACTCACCTGCAGGAGTGCTGGTGTTGTTGACTCACCTGCAGGAGTGCTGGTGTTGACTCACCTGCAGGAGTGCTGGTGTTGTTGACTCACCTGCAGGAGTGCTGGTGTTGTTGACTCACCTGCAGGAGTGTTGGTGTTGGTGACTCACCTGCAGGAGTGTTGGTGTTGGTGACTCACCTGCAGGAGTGTTGGTGTTGGTGACTCACCTGCAGGAGTGTTGGTGTTGGTGACTCACCTGCAGGAGTGCTGGTGTTGGTGACTCACCTGCAGGAGTGCTGGTGTTGTTGACTCACCTGCAGGAGTGCTGGTGTTGTTGACTCACCTGCAGGAGTGCTGTGTTGTTGACTCACCTGCAGGAGTGCTGGTGTTGTTGACTCACCGCAGGAGTGCAGTGTGTTGAAATCACCTGCAGGAGTGCTGGTGTTGTTGACTCACCTGCACGAGTGCTGGTGTTGTTGACTCACCTGCAGGAGTGCTGGTGTTGGTGACTCACCTGCAGGAGTGCTAGTGTTGTTGACTCACCTGCAGGAGTGCCGGTGTTGGTGACTCACCTGCAGGAGTGCTGGTGTTGGTGACTCACCTGCAGGAGTGTTGGTGTTGGTGACTCACCTGCAGGAGTGCTGGTGTTGGTGACTCACCTGCAGAGTGCTGGTGTTGGTGACTCACCGCAGAGTTGCTGGTGTTTGGTGACTCACCTGCAGGAGTGCTGGTGTTGGTGACTCACCTGCAGGAGTGCTGGTGTTTGTAGCTCATGCAGGAGTGTTGGTGTTGTTGACTCACCTGCAGGAGTGATGGTGTTGTTTGACTCACCTGCAGGAGTGCTGGTGTTGGTGATTCACCTGCAGGAGTGCTGGTGTTGGTGACTCACCTGCAGAGTGTTGGTGTTGATGCTCACCTGCAGAGTGTTGGTGTTGATTGACTCACCTGCAGGAGTGCTGGTGTTGGTGACTCACCTGCAGGAGTGCTGGTGTTGGTGACTCACCTGCAGGAGTGCTGGTGTTGGTGACTCACCAGCAGGAGTTGCTGGTGTTGGTGATCACCTGCAGGAGTGCTGGTGTTGGTGACTCACCTGCAGGAGTGCTGGTGTTGGTGACTCACCTGCAGAAGTGCTGGTGTTGGTGACTCACCTGCAGGAGTGCTGGTGTTGGTGACTCACCTGCAGGAGTGCTGGTGTTGGTGACTCACCTGCAGGAGTGTTGGTGTTGGTGACTCACCTGCAGGAGTGCTGATGTTGCTGACTCACCTGCAGAAGTGCTGATGTTGCTGACTCACCTGCTGGAGTGCTGGTGTTGCTGACTCACCTGTAGGAGTGTTGGTGTTGCTGACTCACCTGCAGGAGTGCTGGTGTTGGTGACTCACCTGTAGGACTGTTGGTGTTGATGACTCACCTGCAGGAGTGCTGGTGTTGGAGACTCACCTGCAGGAGTGCTAGTGTTGGTGACTCACCTGCAGGAGTGCTGGTGTTGGAGACTCACCTGCAGGAGTGTTGGAGATGCTTGAGGAGGGCGTCTTGAAGAGCTTCTGCCACAGGGGGACATATCTCCAGCCCCCGACACACCTCTACCGCTCTAGGAGACAGGAAGACAAAGATAGAAAACAAGAGCCAGGGATGCACGGAACAGTAAGGGAGATTCTTGGAACAACTGACATGTGCAGGTGATCTATGACCAGACTTCTAGAACCCATTCTCAGCATCCTGTAATGGCTCGGATAACTTCATAAATCCTCTGCCATTTGGCTTCTAATGTTCAGAAAGGTGCCTCCTAATTCGAAGATGGTGGAAAATAAAACTGAAGTGTGTAGGTGCACATCAGCCAGTTTAATGTGTAAGAGTGAAATATTTTATTACCGCAATATCACGTTAATATGTTTGAGTCTACCTCTTCTGAATGGTTTCAGTATTTAATAGGTGAGGGATCTATAGGGCAGGATAGTTATCATTAGGTTTAGTTTGTGTACAGACAAATTTGTCAATATACTAAATTTGTTTCTAAAATTTGGAATTATTAGAATCCGTATGATAACTGCAGAATACCTCGTCTGATCAGCTTCATAATTTCAGTCCTGGTGTGTTTTCCAGAAAGCCAGGTTCGTGTCGGTATTGGGCTGCATTAGTCCCAGTCTGGTTTCCATTCAATAAAGAATGCCTCATCGTATCATCTTCAAAATATTAACGCTGATACAAGATGACGCACAACAAGTTTAGGCTGTTTGGGTGCAATTTTGTTTTTTTTACTGAAATTGTTACAAAATCTTGTAATGGCTGGATTCAGAGTAATTACTACAGACACACTGTGCAATACGAGGACATTTTTCTCGCTTCGCACCACGACCCAAAAACATATAGTTACTTTTATTACATTAATGTAAAATGCTACACCTATGTGGGTCGTTCAGTGAAGGACGGTGGAAAGTTAAGCAGAAAATTTCGGGTGAGCAACCTACCTAGCACAGGTGTCCCTTATATGTGCAGGCTGAGCCGTACCCACTGCCTGCTGCACTGCTCTCACTGCCTGCTGCAGGTCAGGGTAGGTCTTGAGCTGCAACCGCCACGCTGCTACTGTCACCACTACCCCTGGGGGAACCTCGTACTCACCCTGAGGGAGACAAGGGAAAGCTTATCGTGAAAGTACCAAGATAAGCTTATATACATGTACTCTTGTTTAATTAAAAAGATACACGTAACCAAATTAAATCTATATTGGTAGCACTCTTCATCAACGTCAGACTTTATCAAGTACAAATAATATCAAAACAGGAATAAGCCTTGAACTACGATTGTAATAACATATAGAATTAGAACTGACTAAGAATTTAATGCTCTGATTATTCATGCGAGAGATTTTAATCACCCAAATGATTTTCAAAAGACCGAGAAAATTGTTATCAAACAGGTCTATGGTTAAGAGAAATATAATCGAATCATGATTCATAAAAAAATAGTATGGATTTTAATGTGAATATTAGTTCAGGGATATATAAATTGGATTTATTTATACTAATAGAATTTGTGAGGAATTTATGCTATGTCTGACATGTCACTCATAAATTGTACTCGACATGTAACCAAATCTTCATTACACTCCCATTCTCAGCATAATGGGTCAAATGTGAGGTTATACCTCAGTCTTATTAGCCTTGTGTGGTCCTGTTTATTATTTTTACAGTTCCTTGATAATGTGAGAAATCACGAAGGAGCTTGGAAATTCACTGAGAAGTGTGAGAGTACTTTACCTTAAGATTTCCAACCCCTGCGCCTTGTCTTGCATATGCATATGCATATATATATATATATATATATATAAAATTATATAAAAATTTTTATATATATATATATATATATTATATATATATATATATATATATGCGACCCCTGAATGGTCACAATGTATATAATGTATATTACCTGTTCATATAATTTTTTTTTATCACACTGGCCGATTCCCACCAGGGCAGGGTGGCCCGAAAAAGAAAAACTTTCACCATCATTCACTCCATCACTGTCTTGCCAGAAGGGTGCTTTACACTACAGTTTTTAAACTGCAACATTAACACCCCTCCTTCAGAGTGCAGGCACTGTACTTCCCATCTCCAGGACTCAAGTCCGGCCTGCCGGTTTCCCTGAACCCCTTCAAAAAATGTTACTTTGCTCACACTCCAACAGCACGTCAAGCATTAAAAACCATTTGTCTCCATTCACTCCTATCAAACACGCTCACGCATGCCTGCTGGAAGTCCAAGCCCCTCGCACACAAAACCTCCTTTACCCCTCTCTCCAACCTTTCCTAGGCCGACCCCTACCCCGCCTTCCTTCCACTACAGACTGATACACTCTTGAAGTCATTCTGTTTCGCTCCATTCTCTCTACATGTCCGAACCACCTCAACAAACCTTCCTCAGCCCTGTGGACAACAGTTTTTGGTAATCCCGCACCTCCTCCTAACTTCCAAACTACGAATTCTCTGCATTATATTCACACCACACATTGCCCTCAGACATGACATCTCCACTGCCTCCAGCCTTCTCCTCGCTGCAACATTCATCACCCATGCCTCACACCCATATAAGAGCGTTGGTAAAACTATACTCACATACATTCCCCTCTTTGCCTCCAAGGACAAAGTTCTTTGTCTCCACAGACTCCTAAGTGCACCACTCACTCTTTTCCCCTCATCAATTCTATGATTCACCTCATCTTTCATAGACCCATCCGCTGACACGTCCACTCCCAAATATCTGAATACATTCACCTCCTCCATACTCTCTCCCTCCAATCTGATATTCAGTCTTTCATCACCTAATCTTTTTGTTATCCTCATAACCTTACTCTTTCCTGTATTCACCTTTAATTTTCTTCTTTTGCACACCCTACCAAATTTATCCACCAATCTCTGCAACTTCTCTTCAGAATCTCCCAAGAGCACAGTGTCATCAGTAAAGAGCAGCTGTGGCAAATCCCCCTTTGTGTGTGTTTTTTTATTTTTTTTAAATCCCACGCCTCTTGCCCCAAAACCCGCATTTTCTTTCTTACAAAACCCCCTCTATAAATATATTTAAAAAAACCACGGTGAAAATCCCAAACCTTGTCTAAGGGCCCACTTTTACTGGGAAAAAATTTTTCCCCCTTTCCTAAATTTCTTTTAACTTGGGGTCTCAAAATCCTCGTTAAAAAAAACCCCTTCACTGCTTTCAGTAAAACCCACCCCCCTACACCCTACACTTGCAAAAAATTTTGCCACATTGCCCCCCTATCCCCCTGTCATACGCCTTTTCCCAAAACCATAAAAAGCCCAAAGACTTCTTTAGGGCCCTTTTTAAATATTTCACCTTTATTTTCACTGAAACACCTGGTCCACACACCCCCTACCTTCCTTTAAAACCTCTTGTTCATCTGCTTTTCCTATTCTCCGTCTTTCTTTAATTTTTTTCCCAAAAATAACTCTACCTTTCAAATTTACCAGTATACTCCCGCAACTTATCCCCCTATAATTTTTGCACTCTCTTTTTTCCCCCCTTTGGGCCCTTTTAAAAAAGGGAAATATGGGATGCTCTCTGCCAATCCCTAGGTACCCTTTCCCTTTCATAATTTTTTTAAAAAATTTCCCCCCAAACCCCTCCAAACTATATCCCCACCCGCTTTTAAAAAATTTTTATCTTTTTCCATCATCCCGGCTGCCTTAAACCCCCTTTTTATTTTACCACTGCCTCAAGAACTTCCCCCCCCCAAAACCCCAACTTTGGCTCTTCCTCACTCCTACAAGATGTTATTCCTCCTTGTCCTATACACGAAATCACAGCTTCCCTATCTTCATCAACATTTAACAATTCCTCAAAATATTCCCTCCATCTTCCCAATACCTCTAACTCTCCATTTAATAACTCTCCTCTCCTATTTTTAACTGACAAATCCATTTGTTCTCTAGGCTTTCTTAACTTGTTAATCTCACTCCAAAACTTTTTCTTATTTTCAACAAAATTTGTTGATAACATCTCACCCACTCTCTCATTTGCTCTCTTTTTACATTGCTTCACCACTCTCTTAACCTCTCTCTTTTTCTCCATATACTCTTCCCTCCTTGCATCACTTCTACTTTGTAAAAACTTCTCATATGCTAACTTTTTCTCCCTTACTACTCTCTTTACATCATCATTCCACCAATCGCTCCTCTTCCCTCCTGCACCCACTTTCCTGTAACCACAAACTTCTGCTGAACACTCTAACACTACATTTTTAAACCTACCCCATACCTCTTCGACCCCATTGCCTATGCTCTCATTAGCCCATCTATCCTCCAATAGCTGTTTATATCTTACCCTAACTGCCTCCTCTTTTAGTTTATAAACCTTCACCTCTCTCTTCCTGATACTTCTATTCTCCTTGTATCCCATCTACCTTTTACTCTCAGTGTAGCTACAACTAGAAAGTGATCTGATATATCTGTGGCCCCTCTATAAACATGTACATCCTGAAGTCTACTCAACAGTCTTTTATCTACCAATACATAATCCAACAAACTACTGTCATTTCGCCCTACATCATATCTTGTATACTTATTTATCCTCTTTTTCTTAAAATATGTATTACCTATAACTAAACCCCTTTCTATACAAAGTTCAATCAAAGGGCTCCCATTATCATTTACACCTGGCACCCCAAACTTACCTACCACACCCTCTCTAAAAGTTTCTCCTACTTTAGCATTCAGGTCCCCTACCACAATTACTCTCTCACTTGGTTCAAAGGCTCCTATACATTCACTTAACATCTCCCAAAATCTCTCTCTCTCCTCTGCATTCCTCTCTTCTCCAGGTGCATACACGCTTATTATGACCCACTTTTCGCATCCAACCTTTACTTTAATCCACATAATTCTTGAATTTACACATTCATATTCTCTTTTCTCCTTCCATAACTGATCATTCAACATTACTGCTACCCCTTCCTTTGCTCTAACTCTCTCAGATACTCCAGATTTAATCCCATTTATTTCCCCCCACTGAAACTCCCCTACCCCCTTCAGCTTTGTTTCGCTTAGGGCCAGGACATCCAACTTCTTTTCATTCATAACATCAGCAATCATCTGTTTCTTGTCATCCGCACTACATCCACGCACATTTAAGCATCCCAGTTTTATAAAGTTTTTCTTCTTCTCTTTTTTAGTAAATGTCTACAGGAGAAGGGGTTACTAGCCCATTGCTCCCGGCATTTTAGTCGCCTCATACGACACGCATGGCTTACGGAGGAAAGATTCTTTTCCACTTCCCCATGGACAATAGAAGGAATAAAGAACAAGAGCTATTTAGAAAAAGGAGAAAAACCTAGATGTACGTATATATATATGCATGTGCGTGTCTGTGAAGTGTGACTAAAGTGTAAGTAGGAGTAGCAAGATATCCCTGTTATCTAGCGTGTTTATGAGACAGAAAAAGAAAACAGCAATCCTACCATCATGCAAAACAGTTACAGGTTTCTGTTTCACAGTCATCTGGCAGGATGGTAGTACTTCCCTGGGTGGTTGCTGTCTACCAACCTACTACCTATATTGCTTATATTTGGGATATTAGCTAAATCGTAAATATATTGCTTTATATTATTATTTGACTTAGTTATATTATTAGGTAGGATGTAACATTTATATATTATTCAGTGCTCATAGTTCGAGTGTTAAGTACCTGACAGCACTGTCTGACTACTGTGTTTTCTCTCCACTCGTTACGCTGCCGGCTTCTCTGTGTTGATGGGCAGCAGCAGTCCACGGAGAGTCACGTGATCAGGGGAGGGTTTTATCACACCTCACCTGAGGGAGTAGTCTGCCTGGCCTGTGCTAGCAATTGTCTGTTGGACGTTGCTTCTAACAAGAGGTCGCACACCAGCTCTACCTTGTGGGCCCTTGTTGGAAGATATTCTCTGTTGCTTTCTTGTTGTTGGTTCTGTGTAACTATGTTCACAGAACATAGCCTAGACTTAGTGATTTTCGACGTTGTACTGAGGTTATGTGTCGCATAGACACTCTGAGAAACTCACGTCTTGAGCTGTAGCTTCTGACCTAATTTGTACTGGATCTGTGCACTGTCACAGTCGGGGATTTTCTAATGCTGAACTTAGATTCAGTAGTA